CTCATTCTTCTAGGGCACTGAAATTGTCATAAACATCAAATTTTAAAAACATATCATTTTTTAAAGGTAGCGAGTAGCATTTTTGTCTCGGTTTTTTTATTTTTTAAACCCCTGGGATTAACCCAGGGCCTTTGCACTGAGCTGCACCCCTGGCTTTGTTAATTTTTTCTTCTGAGACAGGTCTCCAGGAGTTGCTCAGACTGGGGCTGGGCTCGCTTGATTTCGGGGGTTACTTGGGTGAGGCGCCCGCTCACCCCGCAGATAACGCTGAGCCCACTGAGGCTCCGGCGCCTCCTCCCACGTGGTGAAATTAGCTGGGGGTGGGCCACAGAAAGACTCAACGCTGGGGAGCGGATCTGTCAAGCCCCCATGTGGGGGAGAAACCACAAGAGAAAAGATCACGAGAGCCGGCTTCCTAACATTTTGACAGGCTGTAAACAACCTGAATGAAAAAGTAAAGGTCAAACAGCAACCTGCGGAAAATATTTGCAACCAATTTGACAAAATATTAACAACCGTAGCAAATAAAGACCCGGATAACGACCCACGAGGCCCAGGTCTTCACGAGGTCCCAAGGCTGCAGACACTGGGGACCGAGGCTGCCTAAAATTGGATCTGTTAAAACCTTAAATAAATAAAATGTAAGCTTACATTAAACTAACATTTCAAATGCTCCAGTGTCCTCATCTGCCCGGTAGCTACTGAGCAGGACAGACGGGTCATTTCGAACATCCCAGGACATTTGATTGGAAAGTGGTATTTTAGACAATTGACAAGAAAGAAAGAAAGACACATAAAAGGTGGCCAATAAACACACTAAAATTTCAACTTTATAAGGATAAAGGGAACAAATTAAAATGAGCTAATATTTTATATTCACTCAATTAAGAATAAACAGGGCTGGGGATTTGGCTCAGTGGTTTCGTCGCCTGCTGCACAAGCAGAAGGATCTGAGTTCAATCTCCGGCACCAAAAAAAAAAGAATAAACAGGCTGCTAATTGAAAAGTAGTTATCGACCATCTGGAAAATAATTTGGCAGCATACATTAAGAGCTATAAAACCCCTGAGTGACTGGGAATACATCGTAAAGAAATAGACAAATACAGAAACAGTTTTCTGTGGCAACTTCTCTATCTCGGAATTATTTATGAATTCAGAAAGAAGCCCAGCAAGCAAGCCCGATCTTGGCCAAGGATTATGTTCATTAAGACTACTTGGCAGGCAGATAAGCGATCAGAAAAAGTAAGGCTTTTCCAAGAAGGCTTAATGACCTGGGAAATACGTTCCTGTCTGATTAGGTTTAAAACACAACAGCCGCAACTTCAAAACTGAACAGTTAGGAAAACATCAACCCTAAAAATGCAGGGACCAAACGTCAGCACGAGTACATCGTCCCTGGGGTGCTGGGCATTGTCCTCGCTGCACCATACTTTGGGGAGTCCGTTGCTTTTCGGACCTGCGTGACCTGCAGGCTGTGTCTGCCATACCTGAGGCCCACAGCCCTGGTGGGGCAGCTGACGAGCGCCGCACGTGATGACTCCTCCCCCAGGAATTAGCAGTGGATGTCGGCTGTGTTTGTATGAAGTGGGCAAAAGGACACGACAGGGTGGCCGGGGCCACTGCGGGATGAACGCCGGCTGCTGCCTCGGACTTGGAGACTTCAAGGAGACGGTGCCTGCTCCCGGGGACCCCACAGGAGGCCACGCCTTACTTCCCTGGAAACACTTCTGCACGCTGTGTGACGCGCCCGGCCGGAGGCCCCGGCCTGCCGTGCTGTCAGCTGGGGAGATGAGAGCTTTTCGAAAAGCTGGAGCCGAGGGGCCACCCCAGCTCGACAGAGGTGGGACATGGGCCTCTCTGCTTAAGAAGCAAGAATTCCTCTCCCTCCACCTCCGGAGCAGCCACCAACAGGAAAACAATTTTTTAAAAACCTTAAAAAGAAAAGGTGAGGTTGAAATCCACAGAAGCGCTCCTGCCCAAGCCGCAGTGTGGCCGACTGAGAACTTTCTCTTGAAGTTGTGTTTCCCAAACTCGGTGCTTGGGTGGGGAGCAGGGATGATTTTTGTTTTCTAGCCAGAAAGGAAAGTTATTATGAAAAGAAAGGAAGGTTCCCTGCCTGTGGATTGGCAAGGGAGACAGAGTTGGGGATTAGCACCAAGAAGCGGGGGTGGAAGCAGGAGGAGGGACAGGGACATGGCCAAGGGGCTGGACCCGGACACGGAGTCGCTCCTGCCCCCCGCACGCCGAGCCTCTTGTCCCCATGAGCCAGCCCCACGGGTGGGCCCAGCCTGCGGCAGTTCACGCAGCTGACAGACCTGTCACACATCTGTCACTCTGCTTCCTGTGACAGCTGGGCGTGGTTGTGCCTGTTCCAGTCCCTAGAGAGGGGCCCAAATAGGACGAGCTGGGCCCAGGTGCCCAGGCACCCTCGGAGCCCAGAAGGACCACAGTGGGGGCCACGCGCTCGGGCTGTGCACAGAGGCTCGTCCCGGCCCCTCCATGCCCAGGCCCACACCCCACACCCCACACCCCACGTGCGCCTCCTATCTCGGGATGCTGCCCACAGGATTCCGTGGGAAAGGCGTGGCTTGTCCCCGAGACTGAGGAGCAGGCCGCAAAAGCCCCAGGACCGAGCCCGGGACCGAGCTGCCACCATTTCCGTCCACTCGGCACAGGGTGAGGCCCGAGGTTCAGGCCGTGGCCGTGACGTGGTGACTGTGAGGCCTCTCGCCTCTCTGCTGTTCCCAAAGCCACAGGGGAGGCCTGGGGCTGGGCCCATCAGGGAGCAAGGGCCAGGTCAGAACCGACCAGAACCTGGGGTCCAGGCGCCATTCCGGGCCGGTCGCGCACTCCTGCATGGGCCTGCGTCCCTCTCTGTACCCCGGGCTCCCACCGGCTCTGGCAGGGATACAGCAAGCCTGGGCTGGGGCAGGAGCCGCCTGGTCCCAGGGCTTAGGGACTGTGAAGCCGCAGTGAGCTGACTGCCACACGGGTGCGGCTGCCTGCTTGGGGACCCTTTGCTCTTTTGCACACTGGCCCCAGCCGCTTGTCGTGGTACAAGAACCTCCCTCAGGGCCTGGGGACAATGCCCCGGGTGGGTGCCATCACTCCTGTCCCCCAGGGAGCTGGCCCGGCTGGCAGGGAGTAAGCAGGCTCTGAAGCCTTCTGCCCCCCACTCCCCTGGAACGGACCCCTGGCCCTTGGCCTGTCCGTCCTGTCTGCAGAAAGTGGGGTACGCGAGCTGTGGGCCCCACCGCCTGGCCTAGTGGGAGCCCAGAGATCCCCCAGCATGGCGGGGCCTGGCACCCCAAGCCACAGGTCCCACCCGAAGGGCCCCTGTGTGGCAGGGTCAGGAGGGGCGGCCTCTTGGGCCACACAGCAGCGGGAGCCCTGAGTCCCCGTCCGTGCGTCCCTCACTGCTCTGAAGTCGGATGGACGCGGGCGGAGTGTGAGCTCAGCTGGGCCGGGCGCCCACCGTGCTGTGCCGATGGCTCTAAGCCTAGGTCAGGCACCTCCCCAGCTGCGGCCGCAGAGAGAGCACTTCACAGAGCACGGAGCACGGGGCTGCTTCAAGGGGAGCAAAAAGATGGGAGGAAGGCCACTCAGCATTAGGAAAGCACCAGGCCATCACTGTGGCTTTATGTGTTTCAACCCCTCCGGGGCTTCAGCTCTCAGAAGAAAGTCCTGTGTGCTTTGTGCTGTGCATGCACCTGTGGGTGGCAGCAGAACTTCGGGTGACAAACTGTGCTTTCTGCGTCACACACACCCTTCCGGGCAGAATGGTTTGATTACCTGGGGAATACTATACAGCAATGAAAAAGAGCAGGGCTCTGCTATGCAGAGAATAACACGGGTGGGTTCCCATGCACAACTCAGTAAGAAAAGCAGAAAAGTACAAAAGGAGTGTGCCATTGAGGTCAAGTCCAAGAACTGGCAAAATCAACCAATGACAATAAAAGGACAGTGGTTACCGGGGTAGAAGAGACTGGGAGAAAACAGAGGAGTGGGCATGGGTGCCGCCTGGCTGGGGTCAGCTGGTGGAGTTACCAAAGCTACGGCCACGGGCTCTTCTGTGCATGCCCGCTGTGTACGTGATTGTCCCTTACACATGTGGGCTCGAGTTCTAGTGGCCACCGCATGTCGCGTGTCGCCTAACTGGGCAATGAGCTCAGCTGTGCTCCTCCTCTGCCCACGGCGCCCAGACCTGCGAGGCGGCTCTGCATCCCTCCCTGTGCCGAGCCTGGTGCTTCGTGCAGAGGAAACCCGGAGGCTGCTGGGTGCCAGCCTGCGCCTGGGCCCCGAGGCACGAAGGAGAACCAGACCCTCCCTCGGGCAGCCCCAGAAATGCCCTGGCAGTGTCCCAGGTTGCCCCCATGGAGTGGGGCTGGACTGAGACGGGGTCTCCCGGGACCCCCCCAGGGAGAGGAAGCGCTGGCCGCGCACCTGGAACCATCCGGTGGCCCCTCTTCTGGTAAGCGTGGCTGATCACACTCCTCTCTGAGGCGTCACTGGCCGAGGTTCCTACTCGGATTCTCAGGAAGGGCTCATGGTGTTTACAGTCCTCATAACCAAAGCCGCGCACGGCCGCATGGCTGCAACCCCCACTACTCAGGAGGCTGAGACAGGAGGATTCTGAGGCCAGCCCGGGCAACATAATGAGATGCTATTTCAAAAACCTGATTAAAATTGTCCTGATTGGCACAGGAGGTGCTGGTGTCCAGGTACACAAGTTACAAAGATCATATATAATATCTTTGCGCATTATGGATGTTCTGAAACATAGTACAATTATTGTAAATGTACACAGAAAACAACAGATGCATTCCCCACTGCGTCACACTGTCACACGTCCCCCATGTGTCACACACATCCCCCTGTGTCACACTGTCACACGTCCCCCGCTGTTACAGTGGTTACTGGACTATAGCTCTGTAGGGGTGACTTTTTTTCTTTATACTCGGCTATTTTTATTGATTTTTCTCAATAAACATTTATTGTTTTTATTATTAAGAAAAAAATCACATTATAAAAATACATGTTATACATCATTATACAAAAATACAAAGGATCTTCCGCCGACCCCTTTCATGGCTTGGGGGTGGAGCAGGGCCTGAGCCCTGGCCTTGCGCATGCACAAGGGCTCCCGCCTCCAGGCCCAGCCCAGCCCTCTTTCAGGCTGTGTGAGACCAAGGCCTTGGATCACAATGTCCCTTCCTTAACACATCACACAATGCAGAGGTGCATGGATGAAGACAAAGCCCAGAATCTCTGTGCCGCTCCCCGCTGCCATCAACCTGCTGTTGTCTTTGGGGAACTCCCGAAACCCCTTCTGCGGGTGCACAGGCTGCGTGCACGGTTCCACTCCCAACTCCATCTTACGGCGGTGAGATTTCGGGGTGCAGGTCACCCCAGTCACCCCGAGTCGCTCCCCTTGTCCCGGCCGGCTGGGGGTCCAGCGTGAGCTGGGTTGGCTTCCCCTCCTGCTGTCTCCCCAGGCACCGAGAGCTCCGAGCACAGCGCGAGCTTCAGCCCGTGCGTGGCCTCTGCCGTCAGCCTTTGGAGCTGGGCCGCGTGGCTGCCGAGCTGTGGATGGGGCCCCGGCACCAAGGAGGATGAGTGTGCCTGGGAGAGAGGCCCACCCCCGGGCACAGAGCCAGGAGGGGCAGAGCCAGGGCCGAGGCCCAGCCCAGAGCACCGCCCCGCCACCTGCCTGGGCTCTGCCGCCCAACGCCCGCCGGGCTGCCCTGCTCTCTCAGGAGCCCCCGTGGACCTGCATCCTCCGACTGCACCTAGGCCCGCAGGTTCCTCCCCTCCATCCGCCCCTCGCGGCCCAGCCGAGCCTGCCCACTGCTGGCCACCTCGGGGAGAAGGCCTGGGGTGCATGGCACGAGGTGCGGCTCCCGACCATGGGCGGGCTCCGACACTGCACACCCGGGCTTGTGGTGCACACCTGCCATTGCTGCACTCTGGAGGCTGAGGCAGGAGGGTGGCGAGTTAGCCTGGCTGGAGGGCCGTGGCCTGGCTGTGCTGCCCTGGTTCACGCCAGCGCCTCAGGGCCTCCCCGCCTCCTGCCCCTGAGTCAGGCTCTGTCTCGCAGTCTGACCCAGACACACGCGGCCTTGCTGGCCCGGCCCCGGGTCTCCACCGCCACAGGGCAGCACTGGGGAGGGACGCCCGCCGCCCAGAAGCCCAGAAGGGGCGCTGACTCCCTGTCCACTCCAGGGACCCGCCCCACCCACTCTGACCCTCAGCCCTCACACCTGGAAAGTGGGTGGGTTCGCGCCTGTCCCACACCGCTGTGCACCTGCGTCCAGCACGGCGAGCACAGAAAGCTGAGCCACAGCCGAGGGGCTGAGAGGCCCTAGGCTGCACCTGCCCAGCCTGAGCCCATCTGCCTCTCGCTGGGGCACCGGCTTCCAAGGCCTCCATCCATTGCCATGGAAACGTCTCGAAGCTCTGCGTGCGACATGGGAAGAGGATGAGTCCCCAGAGGGAGGCCTCCTGGCCAGGCCACCCAACTGTCAGTGTGGAGCCAGCCACAGGCCCCAAGTCCTGCCCGAATGTGATCGCACAGCCACAGGTTCTGGGGCACCCCCAGCCCGAGGCTCGCCAGGTGTGTGGGGCAGCACCATCCAATCGCCAGGGACCGTCCTCGAGTCAGGCCCACCCTGAGAGGCCCCAGCCCAACCGGAGACAGCGTGGACGTCCCGAGACACCACACAGGGCCGCACGCCCCACCCAGTGACCTGGGAGTCCTCAGCCACGCAGCCAGGGTCAGAGCAGGCCACAGCACAGGAAGCCCCGCCCTGGTTGAGAACAAGACAGCTGACCTCGGCCACCACACCTGGTCACAGAGTGATGGGCCCGAGTGACACCCACCAGGGTCCAGCTGGAGGGACAGAGCTGGGCCCTTTCTGGGCCGTGGGCTGGAAGCCACTGCTGGGCTGTGAAGCACAGGGGTTCAAGGGCTCCGTCACTAACAGACTGGAAGAGGCCCCTCCTGCCCGCTCGACCACCAGGCCGTCCTGTGCCTTTGGGAACCGCAGATTCACTCACTCCTCATCCACTCAGGGGGGACGGACTGCTCAGTGAGCTTCCTCTCCTCACTCACGGCCTCCGACCCTCAGCTCTTCCCCGCCCAGATCCCTGGGGTCCCTTTGCCCTAGAGGGGAGCAAAGGCCAGGGCACTGGGAGTGACCGTCCAGGGGCGGGTCTAGGCCTGCTGCCGGTGCCCACGGATGACCCTCCCAGTGACCCGCCCTTACCTGGTGTGGCCCAGGGCGGCTGCAGTATCTGTCTGTCCCTGGAAGGCCCTGAGTTCTGACTCCCGCCCAGGGGCTCACTCCACCCCTCCTCTGCCCAGGCTGCGTGGAAAACCCAGGCTGGGCAGCTGACTTCCTCTTGCGTCATGGAAAATGCGGTGAGGGGACAGGAAACTCCCCCGGGATAGAGCGAGGCCGGCCAGCGGGTGGGGGCTGGGTGGGGGCAAAGCGTTTCGGGGCCACCCTCACCAGGCTCGGGTTCCAAGCCCTGAGCTCGCCCGGCCAGCCAGGAGCCTTGGAGCCCACCCCAGGCGCCTTTCAGTTTTCCAGAGACTGAGGAACCAAGAGCCCAAGACAGCTTGGCGGGCAAGGCAAAGGCTCCCGCAGTCACAGGAGGAGCCAGCCTGCCCGTTTCCTTTGCTCCTGGAAGGGTGGGGAGGGGCAAGGCTGTGGACTGACCTCGGGGCCAGGGAGGCTCGCGCATTTCCGAGCCTCAGTTTCCTCCTCTGTGAGATGGGGAGCTGCAGCCGCTTCCCACAATGGCAGGCACAGGGAGGGAAGTGGTGTGGGCTGCACAGGCTCACAAGAGAAACCAGGGCAGGGACAGGGCTGTGGGGGCGCAGCTCCTGTGCCCCGAAACCCGAGGGGTGGGGAGAAAATGATCCTGGGGTCCCGGAGCACGCGCAGGGCAGGGGCCCGGCCTTTCCACCCCACCTCCCTGGCTTAGCAGTGATGTGGACGATGGGTGGGTGGAGGCCCAGCCTGGGATCTCCAGACTCGGGGCCAGGAGAGATGGCCATGAGGCTGGAGCCAGGCCAGGTGGACTGGGCAGGGCGAGGCCGTGCCTCCTGCTGCACCTGAGGTGGCACCATCAGCCCCAGGAGCTGCAGGGGAGGGCCGGATGCAGATGCTCGCCCGGCACCTCAGGCTGGAGGCCGGCAGAGGCCGGGCCACCACCCCTCGGCCTTGTGGTACGGGCGTAGAAGCCACCTCCGCTGGTCACCAAGGGCTCCGGACCCCGGGGCAGCGCAGCCAGTTGCCTGGAGCGCACTCTCCCCCTAACCTTCTCACTGCACTCCCAGCGTTGGGTTCGGTGCTGTCTGGGGGCTCAGGTGGGAGCAACGTCCCCTGGCCCACCCTAGACAGGTCTGTAGCCCGAGTGGCAGGCTGGGAGTCATAACCTCTGCCTCCATCTACCCAGGAATGAACCCAGACAGCGTGGGGGCTGGAGGGCTCGAGGGGCCCGGAAGACAGAAACCAGACCCCAGAGGCCTCTCCTGGCTTTGGCGGGCCGGCTCTGGCCTCGCTCGGGCTGTCCCTGTTTTATGGGATTCATCATCAGGCGCTCTTCCCTAAAAGGCCGCTGTCGCAGCCTCCGGATGGGGTCGCGTGTGTGCGGAGGATGCCGATGGTCCACCTTGTCCTCCGCACCTCGGGGGTGCTGCCCCCGCTGTTGGTCTCGCCTGTCCCGTGCAGAGGGATGGACGACTGGGAGCTGGTGTCCTGAGCCGCTGAGCCGCTGCGGAGCGGCCGGCTCGGAAGGATGGCGTGGGCCGCTGCAGGCAGACCTGGAGCCCACGGTCAAGTTCACAGCATCTGAGAGCACTGGCCGGGTCGTCTGAACTTTGAAAGGCAACAGCTAGAAAGTTTTCAAAGGAAAATACGGAAACAAACCAACAAGAGCGAAACAAATTTAGTTTATAGCCAAGAAACGTAATGCTCAGTCACACCAACTTTTACGGAACTTGGTCAAAGAAAAAGCCGGACCGCAGCATTTGTTGGAGCCTTTCCCACCGACCCAAGTGGGGAGGCTCAAGGAGAGGCTGGGGGCGGGCCAGGCGCGGCCCGCAGTGTGCACCCCCGCGGTGCCAAGAGGACAGGAGAGAGGTGCAGCCGGGCCGCCCTCGGGGGCGCTGCCGTCTACGTGACCTGCGGATATTTACACCACGCATCGTCAGGTGCCGGAGCTGAGAAGGGACCACGCAATGGACGGCAGAGCAGGGCTGTGCAAACAACCTGCATTTTTTAGACTCCTTTTCCTCCGTGGCCAATAATGGTAATAAGGACAGCAGGAAGCGGGAGAGGTTATTGTGGTAAAAACACAACATCTTTGCTTCCGAGCCCAGTCCTTTGAAATTTTACCAGGAATGGATCAACAGCTTAAGAAAACCCTGCTGTTCTGAACACAAAGATTAGACTTTGTTTATAGTGATGCATTAAGATTGGAAGTTTAGAAACTGTTTTAAACGAGTTTTTAGACCATGACAGCCAGCTCTGCCACGGAGACTGAGCTCTGTCCTAGCTGGGGACCCTCGGCCCCGGGGGCTGCTCTCACCTCCGGTGCAGCTCTTCTTTCTCTTTTTCCATTTTGGTACAAAACAGGCATTTTGCTTGAGGACCAAAAAAAAAAATCTTCATTTTACCACACAAAATCCTTTCTTATCCAAAAATGTCCTTAGTCCCGTGATTCCCTTTGCCTCTCCCTTGCTCTCCTGCTTACTGGCTCACTTTTTGCTTTGTTTCTTTTCTTAAGTTTATAATTTTGAAACAATCCTTACAAAATTCCTCAATTTAGATTAAATTGCTCTTTTTCTACAACAAAATAATAAAAACACTAATAAAATAAAAATATTTTATGCTTTTCTTAAAGTTTTCTCAACAACACACATAACTTAATTTCTTTATATCCTTAGTATATTGGGTTACACATATTAATTAGAATTTTAACTCTTTTTTTTTTTTTTTTTTTTGGTACCAGGATCGAACTCGGGTCCTTCTGCTTGTGAGGCAGGAAACGGAAAGAATTTTAACTCTTTGTAACTTTACTTTGTAGTGAAAGCCTAGGAAGAGAGAAACCTTGAATTGTTCTTTATATACTAACAATTATGAAAATGTATTTAATAGACCCAAATATAGTGTCTTTTTTATAGAATTTAAGAAACCAGGAGTATGAGGATTTATATTTATCAACTGATGTTTTAATATTTCAACTAACTTACAAATGACTCTCATGTTTTAAAGCATTTCTCCCATTTATAGTTAAACAATTTATTTACACAATTCTTCCTGTATTACGCAAACTGAGATATGAGACAAGCACAATCTGTGGGTGGGCCTGGGGACGGAACCCAGTCCTTCACACTGAGCTACACGGCCAGCTTTTTTATTCTTTATTCTGAGACAGGTCTGGCTAAGTCGCTAAGTCTCCCAGGCTGGGCTCAAACTTGTGACCCTCCTGACTCAGCCTCCTGGAGTGCCAGGGTTACAGGTGTGCACCTCCACACCTGGCTATAATCATTTCAAGTTATTTTCTTGTCAAACACCGATGTCAAATTGCCATCCTTGAAACACAAAGCACAACGAACATTACATTTTAAATACTAGCGGAGACAAATACAATCTTGACTGGCCAGCAACCCAGGCAGGACAGCAACAATCCCGGAAGGCATCTCTCCCTGCCAACACATTTCAGCCAACTCCCTTGTCAAAGACTGATTTAATCCACGTGAACTAAAAGTCACCTGGTCACTCCAAGTTTTAATTCACGTGAGTGCCTGGATACCTGCAGCGACCCCAGATGGGACCTCTTGGGGACTGGACCCACAGGTACCACATATCGTGGAACACGGCCCAGGGATGCACCGGGAACAGGTCCCCCCGTGCACACAGGGAGGGTGGCCGAGGGCTGGGGGGACTGGGCTGGGCTGCAGAAGGGGGAAGTAGTGGGGCCTGGCGAGGACCAGAAGAAAGGGAGCCGCGTCCTCGCTGACACAAATTGGAACTCCCGGGTGAAATGTTAACGTCCCCGGAAGTTAGGGAACTTCACCCCTTCCCGCTTGGGGAGGCCAATCCCTCCCAGGCGGGACTGGCCCCCACGGCCTGTTTCCAACGGGACTCCTGAGGGATCCCGGAAGGAAACGGCCAGGGAGCTCAGAAGCTCCCAGGTCCCGCACAGCCCCACTCATCCCCGAGCGAGTGTGCAAACTCAGGGAGCCAGGGCACATGGGTGAGTCTGTGCTCCCTGTGTGCAAACAGCTGGGGCAAAGGAGCCCAGAGAAGGGGACACAGAAGCAAGGGGTGGGGAGGAGCTGGGACAGGGACACCTCCGGACATGGAGGCTGCAGCGACTGTGCACCAAAGGCCTGGGCCGAGTGGCTCCAGAGCCCTGCATCCAGCAGCCCCAGCCAGGCTCAGCTCCCCGTCCTAGCAGAGTCCCCAGAAATCCGTTACCCCAGAAATGACACCAACTGTAGCTGAATGTCACCACACAGGCTAGGCCTTTCGGGGTCCTCTGCCCCGGCCACTCAGCTCCAGCTTGAGCCAAAGGGGTCAGGACCAACTGAGAGGGGTCCAGGCAGCTTCCGGAACGAAGGGAAAAGCAGCTTTTATTGATGTGCTCAGTGGGCAAAAGGCTGGCTATTTCCCACGGGCCGTGGGCACGGTGTCAAAAGATAGATTCATTCTTGGGCAAGGGACAGGCACCGGACTCGCCCCTGGGGCTGGGCCTCGGCATGGCCAGAGGACTGGGAGCAGCCGGAAGAGCACGGGCAGCGGAGGGAGACAGTGCCAAATCCAGGCAATCAACACGTCCACACTCAGGCCCCGGGAGATGGCAAAGGGGAGGGGTGGATCGAAGGCAGAGTGCGAGCCTTCCACCCACCAGACATGGGGCCGGGGAGGAGTCAGCATTTCCAGCCTCGGGGCCTCCAGGTCCTGCGAGGTGACCTGGGCCACTGTCCTGGCCCACAGGCCAGTGGTGTTGCCTCTAGTGAAGCAGGGGGAGGTTAGTGTGTGTCCCGCACACGTGCGATCTTGACATCACGACGCCTGGCACAGCGAGGGACTCGCGTGGCTTTGTCATCGGCAGCAGCTCTGCCGGGAGGAAGTTGACAGTTCGACTTCAAACACAGTGACGCAGGCCCCGCACTCCCTGCACCCAGCCCAGCCTGGCGCCCCACCCTCTTCCTCCCTGAGTGAGCGGGACTCGGCCTGAAGCCTCACCCTGGGGTGCTGAGCTCACCGAGGCCGAGCAGGAGCAGGCCGTGCCCATGGGGTCCCCGCTGCTGGCCGTCACATTCCTGCTGGGCACGCTGGGTGAGTACTGCTCGTCCACCGAGTACAGAGCCGGCTGGGGTGCAGCGCGCTCCCTTGGACTGCTCTGGGCGTCACTTGGGCTCAGGGTCAGGATGCCTCTGTGCTCCCGGCCCAGCTGGCCTGGCCCACCGTCCCACCTCCACCGCCTCCACTTCTTCCTGAGCTGCCCAGGCCCAGCCCTCCAGGGGAGCTGAGCCCAGGCCCAGCTCTGCAGGGTGGCCAGGTTCGGAGCGCATGTGTGTGACCTCTCCACCTTGCGTGTCGGGAGGGTGTGACAGACGTGGCTGAGGCCCGGGGCATGGCAGGCCTGACGGAGAGGAGGGGGCTGGGGCCTCGGCTCCAGGCTGTATCCTCCGCAGGGAGTGGAGCAGGGTCCTGAGCTGGTGAGTTCCTGGCAGGGCTCACACACAGGAGTCAGTGTGTGCACCCTGGGGACCATTCGGAGCACGTGGCTCCAGGGGCGGATATTTGTGTGACTGGGGGTGGTGAGCACCCCCCTTCCCGGGTCGCAGCCCATGAAACACTCCCAAAGCCATTGCCTTCCCCAAGCTTCAGGCACCTGGGGAATAGCTGGCACACGGCTCCGCTGCGCAAAGAGGTAAACTGAGGCCCAGAGGGCTGATGCAGGCCCAGGGAGGAGCAGCCTGAGCAGCCAGGCCCAGCCCTCCCCAGCCTCTCTGCGCCCTCAGCCAAGAGCAAGGGCCCCGCTGCCCGATGGGCAGAGGGCGCCTGGGATGGAGCCTCTGCCCTCAGACACGCAGCCCCGAGGCCAGGCAGGGCCAGCCTGGGTGAACGGTGTGGGCACCGGAGCCCAGCCCAGAGAGCTGCCTGAGCACTGGCACCTGGGCCCTGCAGCCTCCCACCTGGGGTCGCAGGGAGGTGCCCACGGCCTCCCGGGTGACGGTGCCAGCCTTCTCAGCTGAGCGCCTCCATCCCGCACAGCCTGCCCAGCCACGGCCCTCAGAGTCTGAGTGAAGCCAGGCCTGTCGGGGCTTAGCACGTGCCGGGGGCCGTATATCAAATGCTCAGTGAGCAGCAAAGGCAGCAAGCTACAACCCGGGAGGCGAGACAGGTGGGCCAGGTGGGGTGGGAGGGTCGGCCGATGCCACCATCCGGCTGTCTTCACCCTGCAGTTACTCATCCGTGAGCCAGGGTGATGGAGGCGGCCGCCCCTGCCTGGCTCCCAGAGGAGGCCCGGCCTAGAAGCCCAGAAATGAGCACCTGAGTTTCTAACCATCTGGGGCCACTGAGGAGTGGGGTGCAGCAAGTCACGGGAGGCCGGGGCCCCAGGGTGGCAGGGCAGGGTGGCCGGGGTGCATGGGCCACCTTCAGAGGGCCAGGAGGGGCCTTGGCAGGAGGCAACATCCCCTCTGAGACCCAGGGTGGGAGGAGGCAGCCAGGCAGAGAGAGATGAATGAGGGTTCCTGGCAGAGGCACTGATGGGGCAGAGGCGGGGGCAGGACAGGGTGTCTACCAGGAGCGTCCAACAGCGAGGCCACCAGGCCACTGCCCAGGCTGCAGAGCTGGGGCCTTTGAGGCATTGAGTACCAAGGATCGGGTCCCCATGCCTGGCCCCGGGGGGAAGGGTGGCCCCTAGGGGCAAAGGGGCTGAGGGAGCCCTCAGGGTCGCCCCATGTAGGTGGGGTCCCCCAGGGACCAGGGAGAGTTCAGCTCCACTGGGCAAAATGGGGCGTCTCTGTGCACATGTGTGTGTGTGTGCACACGTGTGCATGCACTCTGCCTTGTGGAGGGCTTTGGAGCACGGCAGATCCAGTTTGGCTCCTGTGTGGCCACCCAGCATGACAGGAAGCCCTGGGGTCTCAGCTTCTCGGCAGAGCGGGGCTCCATTCCGAGGGCCACAGCAGTCACAGGTGCTGGGGATGCCAGGAAGGAAAGGACCAGCCCTGGCTTGCAGACCTGCCATGGGGACCCAGGCCGGGGATGGAGCCCAGGGGGAGTCGGAGTGAGTCGGAAGAGCTGGGCAGTGGTGGTAAGGGGGCTGGGGTCTCCGAGGGGGTAGCAGGTGACAGGTCCTGGGAGAAGGGACAGGGTCCCCCCGAGGACCTGAGCTCTGTCCTGAGGCACACAGAGCAGCGGCCCCACCTCTCAGCCCTCGGCGCTGTCCCTGCCCGTCCAGCTGCCCTGGGGAGGCCAGGGGCCCCAGCTGCTACAGCCAGATGGTGTCCGAGCTCTGTGCTCCCCATGCCACCCCAGCAGCACGTGGTCCCCTCCCCGCCTCGAGCCCAGGTGATCTGTGTACACGGCGTGGGCCCCGAGGTGCCCTGCCAGCAGGAGGCATGCCCTGGTTTCTTCAGCTGGAAACGGGGGTAAAATGGGCTGTGTACTCTGAGACAGGGTGCAGGAGCTTGGGGCATGCACTGCTGTGAGCTCAGGGAATATCGTGCTGCAGGACACGGCCTTGGCCGACACGCTGATAGCTCAGTCAGACGCCCCAGCCACGGCCACGAGAGGACAAGCGACAGTCTACACAGCAGAGGCCGCCTCCTGCCTCCTCTCCTGGCCGGAGCCTCAGGGCTCTGTGTGTGTTGGCATAACAAGGCTCCTGACCCCAACACAGCCCTCCACCTGCTGCCTGACCTGCGACACCACGTCCTCCCCTCCTCCCTGTGCTTCCCAGAAACCCTGACACAGCTCCAAGGGTCACTGCTGTTGAAAAGGCCCCGCTCTGCCACGCTGCTGGCCACACCAGCTCATCCCTGGTGCACCAGCCGTGGATGCCCTTGGGACCCGAGAGGTCAGAGGCGGGCACCAGCTCTGCAGCTGCCTGAGGCAGCCTCATCACGGGTACGGCGGGGCCCACCAGCCAGGCCCACAAATGCTCACCTTCAATCCCACAGCCGGACACTCTGTAAAGCCCGGCCGACTGACCCCTTGGGTGCAAACCCAGCCCCGAAAAGAGGCGGACACCGCTGATCGTCTTGCTGCTGCTCCCATGACAAAGAAACTCATTTCACGGCAGCAACACAGTGAGCCTAAAGCCAGGGCTCTCTCGGTGTAGGAGAAAGGAGGTGCCAGGCCTGGCGAATCAGGAAGCCCAGGAGGCTGCGGGGGGGTCCCCGAAACACCGCCTGTAGCCAGGACACCCTATGCTGTAAAAACTTCGAGATCTTGGGATTTAAAAAACAAAACCAAATGAAGTCTTTAAAAAACTGGCTAATGGTGGGCACGGTGGTGCACACCTGTGATCCCAGCACTTGAGAGGCTGAGGCAGGAGGGTTGCCGCAAGGTTGAGCCCAGCCTGGGCTACACAGTGAGTTCAAGGCCAGCCGGAACTACATAGAGAAACCCTGTTTCAAAAACAAAACAAAAACAACTGGCTCAAACATTTTTTTAGGCACTGTGCAGAGCAAATAAGACTCATCCATGGCAGGATGTGGCCCATGAGATGCCTCTCTCTCTCTGTTTCTCTCCCTGAGCTTCACCTGGGCTTGCCTGTCCAAGCCCTCCATTGGGGGCCACCCGGAGGGGAGGCTGGCAGGCAGGAAAGCCCCTCAGAGAAGTCTGTGCCCAGCCCCAGCTGCCGAGGACAGCGTGGGTGGCAGTACAGCGAGGCCACGATGCTTCTGTGTTCCCACCCGGCACGGGCTCCAGGTTTCTGAGCAGAGCCTGGGGCCTGGGCAGCAGGAATAAGCTGCAGCCCAGAGCGGTCAGGGGACCCAGTAGTCTGCACCATCCAGGGGAACCACGGGTTGCTCTTCACTGGCGAGAAGCAGCTAAGAAATGGGAAGAGGCTGCGGGCCAGCGAAACCAGAGGTGCCTGACCAGGCCGGGACGGCACTGGGTCAGCCCTGAGTGCCCTGCGTGCCCCGTGCAGCCGTGTGCTGAGCTAAGGCCAGAATCACAGCGTCTGGACGGAGGGACGGCGGGGACCAGCACAGATGGGGACAGGCTAGCGTCGGCAGCATGTGCTTGGACCTCCCAAGCTCTCTGATCCAGGCACACAGCAAGGAGGGCAGCGGCCAGGCAGGTTCCGTGCTGCTCCAGCCTCCTGGTCCACCTGGGACCAAGCAGTGACGCCCACCTCACAGCACGGCAGAGGGCCCCGAGGGAGTGGAGCACTGACGCTCCGGGTGCTGGTGGCGGCAGATGGGGTGGAGCGGAAAGGCGGCCCTGAGGGCGCTGTGCCCAGGACGCGGCTCGCCCTCTCAGCTCACTTCCCTGCCTCTCCGGCCTCCCCCAAGCAGGGCCAGGCTGCCTCGTGTGGGCCTGCGGTGGGCGGGCTAGCTTCCCTCCGCATCTCCACACTTGGCCCTGCGTGGGCACCATGGGGGCAGAAGCAGAGGCCCGGAGCCCAAGCCAAGCCCATGGTGTGCACCAGGCCTGGCAGCAAGCCTCCACCTTGGCCCTCTGACCCGGGCCAGCGCAGCCCGTGGAGACCGCAGTAGCACAGGGCAGACGCAGCCCCAGCTCCCGCTGTCCCTCAGCCCCGTGACTTTGGCAGGGGCGCAGTGCAGTCCTGGGCACTGCCCGCATCCCTCCGGCTGTCCCAGCCCTCTCCACGTGGCCTCCTCCTGAGGCCCACGACAGCAGGGCAACCGTGACTGGATCTCCGAGATGGGAGCACTCATCGTGAGCAGTCCTACGGGGGCACAGCCCTGCACCCCAAGGGGCGGCGTGACTTCCTGTGGAATTCCCACAGCACCTCGGGAGCCTGGCGAGAGCAGGCTGTTAGCACCCAGTGACAGCTTCTCCTGAGGGAGGGACTCACGGTTGCTTCCTGTATAAGTCAGCTCCTGTCAGGTGTGGAAGTACAGGCCTGTAATCCCCACACTCCGGGAGGCTGAGGCAGGATGGAAAGTCCACACCCAACCTGGGCAATTTAGCAAGACCCTGTCTCAAAAAGAAAATACAAAAGCAAAACTGAGGATGCAGCTCCGAGTGCAGGCCCTGGGTTCGGTCCCCAGTGCTGCCCAAAAAAGCAACACAAAGTCGTCTCCCTGACCCAGTGGTGTCCTGGCTGCCAGCAGAGAAGCCAGTGCGAGGCAGGCGGGTGGGGTCCCAGTGACTGCTCTGCTTGGCCGGCAGGTGGGGTGGCACAGTGGCCTTGGGAAGGGTGGGGCACGGTGCTTGGGGCCCTCTGGCCAACCACTTAGTGAGCAGCAAGCAGAGCCCCAGCTTCGAAGCGGAGTGTGCAGGGCCCGGTCTGCCTCACTCTGTGACAGCAACAGCTGGTTCTACAAAGGGGGAGCCTGGGGACACCAGGTGACAAGGCTGGGGTGTGCTCAGCAGGAAGGGGCTCACCCAACAGAGCGTGGAAGGAAAACCCGTGTCCCCACGTGGTACTGCCTAGAGTGTTTCTAGAGAGGCCGGTGGTCGCCGCTCTCTCCATGACTCCATGTGCCCCTTGGGGTGCCAGGCTGCGGATGAAAGCTGCATCCGGAAGCCCACGGGGGCGGGGGGGGGTCCTGCTTGAGGGGGCAGGGAGGGCGCCCCACTTCCTGACGGTCCTCTCCTCTCTGCAGGCCCTTCCTGCCTCGGCCGGTCCAGCGGGGAAGACACAGGTAAGGAAGCGCCAAGACAGAGCGGGGCAGAGCGTGGGGCTGCGGCTGGAGGCCCCTGCGGGCCAAGCCCAGCACATGCAGGCGCACATCGCTATCAGGCCACTGACTTTATTCATTGTGGGGTGCTGGGGATGCTGATCACACCGTGGACCCTGAGCCACATCCAGCCCCTACCATTTTAGGCGGGGAACTTGAGCATGTGGATTTGGTACTCGGGGGAGGCCCTGAAACCAGTCCCCCATGAATACAGAGGGGCAACTTCGAATTGCCTCCCTTGGGGAGCTGTGTAAGGTCACAAGCCACACAGCAGTGCCACTCGTAGGTCCTTACTCGGGGGAAACAGACACAAAGATCAGTTCAGACAGGCAACCCCAGACACAACCCCGACGGCGCCGAGCCAGCAGCCGAGCTGCAGGCTGAGATGGCACCACAGTGACAGGAGCGGACAGGCAGGCAGGCCCTCACACTCAGACCAGCGCCACGCACAGAGGAGCCGAGGAGAGCAACCCGGGCTCTCTGGCCGCATCTCTGCGGCTCTGGAGAATGGGCAAAACTGATCTCTCGGGAGAAAGCAGATCGGCAGTCCCCCAAGGCCGGGTTCGGGGGAATGAACGGTCAGATGGCTGGCGGGGACCCTGGGTGCTGGGCGCGTTGTGCCTAGAGTGTGGTGGTGCTTCCTGCTCACATGCTTTTGTCAAATCCCACCTAGCGGTGCCCTTAGAGGGGGTGCGTCCCGCCCAGTGTAAACTGTGCCCCTGAAAGACTGACTGCAAAGGTTAAAAACAGATGCCATGCTGTGCTGGGGCCGGGCGAGGGTGCACAGGACGGACGACTGTGCCAGGTGGGAGATGCCCGGCCCCTCGCCCACTGCTGGGCTCCACTCTGGCTCCACAGTCTGCAGCCCCAGCTCCGGAGCCCCGAGTGCCACCCCTGCAGTGCCCACAGGGATGAGCTCGCCAGGCCCTGGGAGACTGTGGCAGGCAGGCCCCTGGCCCCTCCCACGCTGCACCTGACCCCTCCCTTCCACTGCGCAACCCCAGGCTTCCAGGTGCGACTCGAGGGCTCCAGCTCGCCATGCCAGGGCCGGCTGCAGGTCTACACCCAGGACTCCTGGAGCTCGGTGTGCGCAGACAGCTGGGGCCTGGCCGGCAGCTCCCCGCCGGACCCCAGGCAGGCCTCCCAGCTCTGCCAGCGGCTGCGCTGTGGGGACATCTGCAGACTTGGCATCATCCCTGCCTTCAATGCACCCCAGCCCCGGCTCCGTGAGCTCACCTGCCAAGGACCCCCGGGGTCCTTCTCCAACTGCAGCAGCAGCCGCACACGGAGCTTGTGCCAGACACTGGGCCTGGTCTGCCTAGGTGGGTCGGGTGACACTGTGGTCCCCAGGCACCTCTGAGGGGGGCGCTGGCCCTGCCTGGTAGATGGAAAAGCAGGAGCTGCCGCTGCTGACTGCCAGCCCCCTCGCCCCGAGCCTCCCTCTCCCGCTGTGAGGCGGGCACGGCCACCTCTCGAGACCGTGTGGGGTGGATGGCTCACCCAGAAGTGGGATCATGTGGCAGCCCCTCACCCTGCCCCTGCCCTCCCCTCCCCCATCACAGAGCCCCAGAGGACAACACTGCCACCCACGAGCCCCCCAGCCTCCACCACGCCGGAGCCCACAGGTAGGGGTCACTGTGGGCAGGAGGGGGTGCAGGCTTTGCCAACAGGGCCCAAGAGGCTACCAGGAGCTCCCACCCCACCCCCCGGGGCCAGGCGCTTGTGCCCCGGTCGGGCCTGCTCAAGCCCGGCCCTCTGTCCCCCAGCTCCGCCCAGGCTGCAGCTGGTGGCCCAGCCCGGGGGCCTGCAGTGCGCCGGTGCCGTCGAGTTCTACAGCGGCCGCTGGGGTGGCACTGTCGGCTACAAGGCCCGGGACGACAAGGCCAGGGGCCTGGGCACCCTCATCTGCAGTGTCCTAGGGTGTGGCTCCTTCCTCAAGTGGCTGCCGGAGGCCGAGGCCCCGGAGCCTCAGTGGACAGTGCGGAACGCAAGCTGCCAGGCCCTGCCCCAGTGCTTCCAGAGGGCACCGCCTGGGGCGGCCAGCCCTGCCCTGGGCCTCGTCTGCTCCGGTGAGTGGGACAGGGAGGCAGGTGGCCCCGCTGCGAGCCCAGCAGAGACCCCCCATCAGCGTCACAGGCGAAGGGGACGGCTGGTAGGGGCACCGAGGGAGGGCAGCAGCGTGTCACCGAGTCAGAGGGCGCGGGGTCCGAGCCAGGCGCACTGGGTGACCCCAGAGCCGACCAGACACTGGCTGACTAGAGAGGCTGGGGCTGGAGGGGCTGAGCTGGGAGCAGGGGGCTTCGGGCCTAAGGGGCACCCAGAGCAGCAGCCAGACCGAGGCGGTGGCCGGTGAGAGCCAGGCAGAGGAAGGCGGTGTGGCGGGGCGGCCCTCTCTCCACAGCCTGCCAGGTGCAGCTGGCTCAGGCGGCAGAGCTGTGCCGCCCCTCAGCATGGAGGGACGCGAGCCAGGCGAGGGCCAGCATCTTGCCCCTCTCAGCAGCAGAGCGTTCCCCAGCCCTCGCTGTGTTCTGGAGCCTGCTGTCCAACCTCCGCAGGGCACCTGGGAGGGGTTAGAGATGCAGACCCCGAATCCAAGTCTGGTTCTGCGAGGGTTCAGTACTTCTCCCTCCGGGATCCCTCACCCAGGGTCTGGCCTCTTCCACCTAAGAGACTCACAGGGCTTTGGGGGTGGTGTTGCCATGGAAACTGACAGAGCCTGGTGATCGCAATTGCTCTGAATTAAGCACAGCAGACCCCTCTGGGGACACCCGGCTCCACCCCCACACCCTGGTGGACGGGCCACTCACTGGTGCCTGGCCCTCAGGGCTGGGGCTGGGACTGCAGTATCCTGGGGTCTCCTGCCTGAAGCACCAGGGCTAGGAGCAGTCTGCCCCAGCCCCGGCCTGTTTCCCCCTCTGAGAAGCCTGCCTCTTCCTACGGGGCAGCAGGAGAATGCAAGGGTGCTTCTGAGAGGCCAGGACCCAGGGCGCGCTGGCTCTTCTCCACCTGGCCGGGGCAGACGCCTACTGGGGCCACCAATGGGCACCGCCACCCGGAGGCTTCCCGCCGCAAGCACCCAGCTGCAGGTCTTGTCGTGGCTGCAGAGGCCGGGACAGAGCTGGGGCACCTGGGGCGGAAGCCCCGTCCCAAAGCTGGGGTCCTGGCCCCAAGCCTGTGGGCACAGCGCCTGCACCTCACCTCCCGCTGCTTCTCCCAGGTTTCCAGCCTAAGGTGCAGAGCCGCCTGGTGGGGGGCGGCAGCGTGTGCCAGGGCACCGTGGAGGTGCGCCAGGGCGGCCCAGGGGTGGCGTGGGCAGCCCTGTGCCACAGTGCCGTGGCCCGGAGCTCGGCGCGGTGGGATGAGGTGTGCCAGGAGCAGCAGTGCGGCAGGGCCGCCGCCGTCCACGTGCTGGACGCGGGCGAGGGGACAGGCGGGCTCCTGTGTCGGGAGGAGGAGCAGCTGTCCCGCTGCCACGCGCTGCAGGAGAAGAGGAGCCTGTGCCACGGGGTACACGTCAGCTGTGAGTGTCCTGCAGCCCGGGCAGGGGCGGAGCGGGCGCAGGGAGCAGGCTGGTTGGGCACGGGCCACACGGCCGTGCACAGGCAGTTGGGGGGACTCGTGAGCTTCAGGGCCAGGCTGACCCGGGCGCTCCCCACAGGCCAGGACCCCAAGCCCCCAGGCCCAGCCGCAGGCACCGTGGGGAGCATCGTCCTGGCCCTGCTGCTCTCGGCTGTGCTGCTGGCCGTGTGCGGCCCCCTGGCCTACAGGAAACTGCTGAAGAAAGGTGGGTACCGGTGCCCACGCCCCCCGCACACACCCTCCTCCCATAGTGACAGGAAGTTGGGGGGTCCGCTCTCCCTCGGGGTCCTCGGCGTGGCCTGGGACAATGCAGGGCCCCTTCCCACCCCCAGGGGGATGCCCAAGACCAGCCACTCCCTGCCCCTGGGCCTGTTTCCCCACCACCGAGAGGGGACTGCACACCTCGGTCACCAGCCTTGCCCCACAGAGCTTGGGGACAGGAAGTGGCACGCGGGACACCGGGCGCAGGGCTGGGTGGGCAGTGCTGGGCCTCGAGCCGCTGGGGCTCAGTCCTGGGCCCCACACCACGGCGCTTCTCCGGAGATGCCGCCTCGGCCCGCACCCCCGCCAGACAGGAAGGGGCCCAGTGTCCTGCTGGGCCCTGGCCTCCCCTCAGCCGCCTGTGGGTGCACACACACGCCATTACCGCCTGCCCTCTCTGTTGCCCAGTCCGCCAGAAGAAGCAGCGGCAGTGGATCGGCCCAACGGGGATGAGCCAGACCAGTGAGTGTCCCGGGGAGCCCACACTCCGGCCCAAGGGCCCTGCTGGCCCTGACAGCGACTGCGGTGTGCGCATGGCCCAGACGTCCCCAGGGCTGAGGCCTCCTCCCGGGCTGAGGCTTCCTCCTGACCCGCTTCCCCTGCGGTGACTTCATGGGGTCCCCAGGGCCTGCCCTCCCCAGCGTGTCCCCAGCACTGTGACTGACACAGGGGAGCCGGCGACTGCACTGGCCAGGCGAGCTCAGCACGGCTTCTTGCTGGTACCTGCGGAGCCGCTGACCTGTGAGGAGGCCAGGCAGTGTCCCCGCTGGCTCTCTGGGGACAGGGCCTGTGTCCTCCCTCAGTGGCAGCCAGAGCCTGTGCCGGGAGGTTGCACAGCCTTCCTCCTGCCTCCTGCTCTGCACCTTCTCCCTCAGGAGTCCTTCAGAAGGACCTGTGTGGCCCGGCTGCCTTAATCAGAGGCCCTCGGCTCCAGGAAGTGGGTGGTCTCTCCATCACTGGGGCACCCTCCCCGGGGATACTCCCGCGACATCTGCCTGACCCCTCGGCATGAGCATCCTGGGGCGTGGGGGGCACACACAAGGGCTGGGGTCACCAAGACGGAACGGGACAGGACAGCAGGTTCCTGGGGCCAGAGGAGGGCTGGGCAGCAGGGCTAACTTGCCGTCTGCTCGTGTGCAGTGTCTTTCCACCGCAACCCCACGGGCACCGTGCGGGCCCAGCCCGAGAACCGCCCCGAGTCACACGCGGACAACGAGTACAGCCAGCCGCCTCGGAACTCACGCCTGTCTGCCTACCCCGGTGAGCAGGGGAGTGGGTGTGCCACATCCTTGAAGCTCCAGACTGAGAGGAGGGAGGCCAGGAGGGGCCTCTGTCCGCTGGACACTTGTCTCAGTGCTGTGCAGGACGCAGCCCTCAGCCCGGCTGCCCCAGGCAGAGCCCCTCATGGAGCCTGCCCACTGGGTCTGATGGGCTGCCTCCCGCAGGGCCCGGAGGGGCGGCCCCAGATGAGGCCCCTGGGCCAGCACGGGGCCACTGGTGGCCTGCAGGAGCCCGGCCCAGGGCCCCTCCTGGGCTCAGTGAGGCCCAGGGAGATCAGCATCGGTGGCCTCATGCAGCCGACTTGATCAAAACAGGGGCCAGCTGTCACTGGCTCACATGGGCCCTGTGATCCGCTGACCCACTGGGCCCGGCTCTGCGGGCCTGTCCAACACGGTCCTGCCCTCCGCAGCTCTGGAAGGGGCCCTGCGGCTCTCGGCCGCCCAGCCGGACAACTCATCTGACAGCGACTACGACCTGCACACTGCCCAGAGGCTGTGAGGGTGAGCCTGCCCCATGTGGCTCCTCGCCTGGCCCTGCCTTCCCTGCGTGACAGGGCGGGCACCTTGCTCCTGCGGAGGGAAAGAGTAAGTGCCAGTGATTTAGTGACAGACCCCACCGGACACCTCGAGGCAGAGCCACTGGTCCCAAAACCTTCCCGGAAAGCTACTGGGAAAGACCCCTTAGGGCGTGGGGTGCGCCTCAGGCTGGGGTCCACACCTAGCAGCCAGGGGTCCCGGCTCCCATCCCCAGCGCAGCATCAGAAGAAAAAGCAAAGAGAAATGTGTAAGCGGCGGGAAGCACAGCCCGCATGGCAGGAGACCCAAGCAGAGGCCACGTAACAGGCCCGCGGCGGCAACTGTGGGACAGGGTTCAGGCTGTGAGGGACAGGGTGGGGACATGTCCTCTGCGGGAAGGTCAACAGCAGCAAGAGCAAAAGGAGCCAGGATGCTGGAACACTCGGGAAGGGAGCCACAGGCAAGGGCGAGGCCCAGGGTCCAGGCCCCTTCTGCCCACAGCCCGCACGGTAGCTGGACAGGGAGCACCCAAGGCCACCGGAGCTGGCACTGAACCTCTCCCCCATCGGTGGAAGAAAAACCTGACCTTCATCTGTGGAAACACTTCTGAAAAGACAACTCAGAAAACAAGATGTCTCATGGGTAATTGACTGACGGGCTGGCAGGTGTCGTGCTCAGAACTGCGTGTGCGCACCAGGAGGCTGCGGTCGGCTCTGTTCACCGGGGGCCTAACGTCTCCAACAGCGACGGGCACGTGGCCCATGTGGCCCACGATCAACGAGTGAAGGGAAGAAAGACTCACACCCTGCTGGAGCCACGAGCCCAGCAGGGAGAAGCCTGCAGCTGCCTGGAGACCCAGCAGGTGTGGCCATCTGTCCTCCTCCCTGCAGAGCTGGGAGCCAGGATCAGAAAACCACGGGCCAGATCTGCGTCCCCCTTGGAGGGGATGGCCCACGTCTAACCCACCCACCCGCCAGGACCCAGGGACCCGGCCACGGTGACCAGGGCAAGTGGGGCCGGGCCCCCATGTGGACGCCATGAGAGAGGAGCCTTGCATATGGAGACTCAGGGTGCCCAGGGGACCCCTTTCCTGCCTGGCCACCCCTGCCCTGGGGCCTCGGGCTTCTCCTTGGACTCTGCCCTGGTGACAGGCAGTGAAGGAGCGCCCCTCGGGTGTTCTGCGGTACGTGCTGAACATGTTCATGGTAAATGATGTTTCCACTTTCAAGAGCACGGTGCACTGGCCTCTCCTGTCCAGGGTCCTCCTGGGGGAGCCACAGTCGGGGGCCTCACCCTGCACCTGGCACTGGGGACACAGGCCGGCCTGGGTCCTCTCCCACCCTGGCCCTGCACCTCTGGGAGTGGGGGCCCATGGTCCTGGCCACAGAGCCAACCCTGGGGCAACACAGGGTCCTGGGAGGACCTGGGCATGGAAGTGCACAGAACGAGGGCTGGAGGACACCAGCATCACCACGCACGTCCTGCAGCCCTGGCCGGACTGGGACAGCCTGGGGCCATGCCCGTGTCGCCTCCCTGCAGCTGCCCAGCCTGGGCCTTGGGCAGGGACCAAGAGGCTGCTGAGGGGGAGAAGCGGGACCCGGGTGCCCCTTCCCCAGTGGTGCCACCCTAGGTAGGGGCTCTGTCACATGGCCACCACATGGCAGCCTCAAAGCCACCATGGCTACTTTAAAAAAAGCCCAGGGCCGGGGATGTAGCTCAGTGGTGCTGCTGCCTGCCTCACAAGCACAAGGTCCCCAGCTCAATTCCCGGTACCAAAAAAAAAAGCCAAACTGCAAGTGCAGCCGAGGTGGGTCGCTAGAGACTGGCGTCAGTGACAGGCCGGGGTGATGGCTCCTGCGAGGCTTGCATGGCCACCCAAGCCTGGGGGCTCCCATCACCAAGGGTCCCTGCCCAGGTCCGACCTTGGCTGGCAGACCCGACCCAGGCCACCCGGCGGCGTGTGCTCCCCGGGCAAGGACGCCTGGGGGCCTTGTACCCCACACCTGGCCGCCTGCAAGCACGATTCTGTCAGGTAAACCAGGGACCCCAAGGGAAGCCCAGGGCCCCAACTGAAAGGACGCCTGGGGGCCTGTGGCCGGCTCAGCTGATGGTCGCGTTGGGTCTCCGGCTCTGGGCTGCACACGGGGGACCCCGGGAGCACCTGGGACCAGCGGGGCCATCAGGAGGAGGCGCAGGGACACCTCTGCTCTGTCCCACAGCCAGGCGTCCTCCGGGGCCCGTCCAGGGTGATGGCAGGAAAGAGGGGACCGAGGGACACGGCCACAGGGCCCGCCAGAGCCCGCTCTGACCCAGGCCTCCCTCCTGACAGTGGGGCGATGGCGCCAGAAGAGCGGATGCGAGGTGGCCTGGGGAGGCGGTGCTGGCCGCTCCTGCACCCTCGTCACCCTCGGGGACAGAGCAGAGGGCTGACTGCAGGGACTCAGAACCCCAGGGTGGGGGGGACCGGGGGGGGCGGGGTCGCCCTGGCCTCACCCAGCCTCCCTTCGGGGTAGAAACGGCTGGCTGCGGCCCGCAGCTGGCAGGAGCAGGGCCTTCCCCGCCAGCTGGCCCCGTGGCCCTCGCAGGACCCTGCAGTCGTGCCACCGCCACACAGCCCAGCAGCTCCGTGTCACAGCTACGGACGGCGGGGGCAGGCTGGGAGCGCCGGTAGGCGCAGTGCAGGGGCAGCCAGGGTGGGGGGACACAAGGGGAGCCCCGAGGAGACAGGCCGGGCAGCCACAGGGGCAGCAGGACACCAGCATGACTCGCCCACTTTTATTGAGGCGATGCATGACTCGAACACCGACGGCCACGCCAGGCCGGGCTCCAGGGACCCCTCAGGCTTGAAGCTGGCAGTGGCCACAGCGGAGGCCCTGGCCTTGCCCGGCACCACACACACCCGACAGCCCCCCGGGCCAGGCGTCCTCAGTGCCTGTGCCCCCCGCCCACAGGAGGTCGAGTTGAGGTCGAGGTGGAGGCCGGGCAGGGTGCTGCAAGGCACACACGCTTCCTGCCCCGCTGGCCTCCCCCGCCCGCCGTCCCTCTCAGTCCTGAGCATGCGCGCCTGCCGTGGCACGCAGAAGGGGCCGGTACAGGGACATCCAGCCTGTCCCAGGGTGGGGAGGTTACACGGGGTGGGCAGCGTGGAGGGGCTGCTCGTGAGAGCCAAGGCACGAAAGGAGGGGCGGGGTGCAGGCTGGCCCCCCACGCCCGCCGAGAGCCCTGGACTCCAGCCACTCCTCCACAGCCGGAGCCCAGGTGACTGACACACGGCTCACAGGGCCAGCCCGGCCCAGGCCCAGGCCCACAGCAGCGGGCCGGGTTAAGTTGTGGCTCTGTAGGGGGAAGATCTGCTCTCCTCACTGCAACCCTGCAGGCCGGGCAGGGCCACAGCGCAGGCCCAGACACCCCACCGGGGCAGGCTCAGGCGACGGCATTGGCTCAGTCACACTGCTAAGGCCGCGTCCACAGGGCACGCCACTCCTGCCGCCCCTGGGTCTGTGCGCCAGGTGGGCAAGGGCCATGGTGCCTGGAGGACCTGGGCCCACCTAGTACCCCGGCCAGGCCGGCCCCGAGGGCGGGGGGAACCCATAGGGAGGCCTGGGCCTGCCGGGGTACGGGGGCTGCGCGGGGAAGCCTGGGAGCGGGGGCTGCGTGGGGTAGGGGGGCTGCCCTGCCATCGGGAGAAAGGCCGCCTGCTGCGGATAGCCAGGGCTGGGGGCCCGGCCACCCGCCAAGGGGTACCCAGGGCCTGAGGTGCTGCTCGGGGCTGTGGGATAGCTCGGGCGGGGCAGCGCAGCCCCGGAGGTGGGCCAGGGGTAGCCTGTAGGCACCCCGGGTCTGGGTCCAGGAGGCGCCCCGTAGGCCAAGGGCTGGGCCCCCACGGGGAAGGGGGCGGGCGGCAGGGCACCCTGGGCCACAGGGCCAATGGGCAGGCCAGGCAGCAGGCCACAGGGCAAGGGGCACGGGGCTGCGGTGGCCGGGGGCGGCTGTGGCTGTGGGGCCTCCTCGGCTACAGAGGGTGCAGCCTGGGCAGCAGGACGAGGCTCCTGGGGCACGCGGGGCCTCCTCACCACGTCCTGCAGCTTCTCCACCCGCACACGGCGCAGGTGTGACAGCGTCCGCATGGCAGGGAAGCCCTCCAGGAACTGCTCCAGCGGCACCAAGCCCTCCAGGAACTTCTCGGCCATCGCCTGGAAGGCACAAGAGGCGCTGGCCACCTGCAGGCTGCTGGCCTCGGCTCCCGGGGCTCAAGCCTGCCCTGTGCCGCCTCCACTCGGCACAGGGGGACACAAGGGGCAGGGAGCGGGGAGGGGACGGGGCCTGGCCCGACCCAGACCTGGGCTCCCACCCCACGCCCTTCTGCCTGGGAGCTGCCAGGGCAGCAGCCTGTGCCAAGGCCGACCCGGTCCAGGCCTGGGAGACGGAAAGTTCCACAGATGATTTTCGTAAGCTCGCAAGCTTTTAGTAACTTTCTCCACAGCACGTAGTTGTAACTGCTCTACAATTGTCATTCACCTACTACTGCGCCTACTCACAAACGAAACCTTATGACAGGTCCATGTCCGGGAAGAGACACGATACACCCGAGACAGGCGGGCGCTCCGAGGTCCAGATGGCCACTGTGGTCTCAGGAAGTATCCCTCACAGGCAAGGGGACAGGGCTGCACTTGTGCCCAGAGGGCCTCATCCAGGACCCCAGGTGCCACCCACCCCACCCTCGTCCCAGGCTTTGCAACACGGTGCCCAGCCCACCGCCCCTCACCTCAGACTCCTCCTCGATCTTCAGGCCTTCGATCTGCAGAAGGTCCAGCAAGGCTGCCGGCTGCAGGGAGGAAGAAAACTTCTCTGGAAGGAGAGAGGATGGTGCCCGGTCCACAGAGCCACCTGGTACTGGGAGACGTCGGCCCTGCCCAGAGCCTCCACGTGTCCCTCAGGTGTCCCGGGGCCCCTGCCAGGCAGCCCCTTCACAGAGAGCGTGGGAGCCGGGCCAGGCCGAGGGAGGATGCGCTGCTCCGGTCCTGCTCTGCCCCGCAGCAGCTCCAGGCCAGCTGCTCCCGCCTTCCAGAGCTCGGACCAAGTTGAGGGCAAAGGACTCTACCTCCAGACTCTGATCCCAGCCCTAACCCCCACAGTTCCTGCAGCCCCAGGCCCCAGCTTTCTCCCCTGTGAAATGAGGACCCCAGTGCCCACCCATGCCCACTGCCCGGGCACCACGCCAGCCGCCTGCCTGTCCAGCCCGCCCTGCACCTACCCAGCCTGGCCTTCTGCTCCTGGCACTGCTCCACCAGCCTGTGCAGCTCCTGGTACTTGTCGGAGAGGTTGGAGCGGCTGATCTCCAGGGGGCCCTGGAACTCCAGGTTCCGCTCGGCCAGGCTCCGGTTAGTGGCCAGGGCCATCTCCCGCTCCAGCTGCAGGTCCTGGACCTGCAAGGTGGGGCATCGGTGATGGTGGGAGCTACCTCTCGCCACCCGAGACTGGGCAGGACCTTGGGCTCTGCCACCTCAGGGACCAGCACACTCACCCCCTTCCCAGTCAGCAAGCCCAGGCCGGCCTCTCTGGACCCGACCCAGCGGCCCTGGGGTGGATGTGCACGGCATGCTGGTGCAACAGGCACAGCCTGCCACCACCTGCTGGATGCGCACTGGACGCCCAGGTGGCAGAGCTCCAGGAGGAGAGGCTGACGGGCAGGAAAAGCCGGGTGGCTCACAGGCAAGGGACCCCAGGCTTCAGAACCCAGAGGGCCACCAAGGACGACCGAGGCCAACAGGGTGTCCACATTGCCACCCTGGCGGGGCTGGGCCCAGGTTGTCTTGGACACCAGGCGCGGAGACACCGCCCAGAGGAGCCACCCTGCACGCTGCCTGTGTGTCCTCTGCCCAGAGCACCCCCTGCTGGGCAGTGCCACAGCCCAGCCAGGCCCTTGGTACTGCAGCCAGTGGGCCTGAAGCCACGCACCTTTCCCAGGCGCTGGGTGACGGGACGCCCACATGCCCAGGGCCCGGGGAAGTCAGAATCAGGCCCAAGTGGGTGGGGTGACATGCGGACAGCACCGTCTGACCAAAGAGGCTGTGGCCACGGAACCTGGGTCGGGCACACCTCCACGAGCCCAGCCTCACCAGAGAGCCATGGGCAGCCTGGGCACCAGGCAGCTGCCCTGCCCCACCTCAAGCTTGCTCCTGAGCAGGCTGCACTGCATGGAGCTCCGAGTTGGCAGGGCCCCCATGCAGCCCAGGGCCCCTGCTCTGCACCTCAGTGGCCCTGCACCTGGCTTGCTGCCACAGTCACCCTCTTTAGCTCTGGTGAGTCTCCTCATGCACATCTGGCAGACAGGGCGGAGCCCAACAGCCCTCGGATCCCCTGCATGCTCGGCCTTCTGGTCCCCACCAGGGAGCGGCCCCACTGCTGCCCCCTCTCCAAGGTCTCCCCACACTGTTCTCCTCGGGGTTCACTACTGCAGCAGGGAAAAGCTGGTTTCCTGCGGGCCTAAGCAGCTGCCCTGTCTTGCTGAGCGCTTTCCAGAGCGGCTGGCCAGGCGTGGCCGCACACCACAGAGTCCAGACTGCCCGTCCAGCACATTCCCAGTCCCAAGCACCCTGCACGAGGGCTGCACCTGACCTGTATGTGACATGCACAGGACTGGCCCGGCAGGGGCCGGGAGGAGCGGCCTGGACAACCGCACCCACAGCGTCCCTCAGGGCAGAGGCCAGCAAGACACCGCACGGTCGCCCTCAGCAGAGGATGGGCACAGGGAGGCCAGCGGGGGGCTGGACAGGCGGCCTCGCCACACCTACTTCACCTGAGCCCTCCCGTCATTCAGAGAGCCAAGGTCACGGGGGATGGGGACCAGGAGGGCAGGCAGATCCTCGGTGCAGTGAGATGCTCGTGCAGGCGGAAGGTGAACTTACTCCTATGGCCAGGAGCCAAGAGGGCTGAGTGCCGGGCCTGGTGGGCACAGGGTCAGACAGCCGAGTCACCCACTGGTGCAGGGCCACACGGGCTTCGGGGCAGTCTGGACCCACTGTGTGGCCTCAGGGGCCTGTGGGGTCCAAGTACACTGGGTCCTAGGCTCTGGGGGCCCAGGCACTGGCCCGAACCCTCAAGGCTGCTCTGGCTGGGCCTGGGGCAGGGCAAAGGCCACAGAGAAGGACGGGCTTGGCCAAAGGCCAGCTGGTACCCTGGGGAAGGACCTGGGACCTCCCACCTGCACGGCCTCACCTACCTCTGGGGACTCCAGGGCCAGCCGGCCGATGGCCTCGGGGTCACTCTGCATGTCCTCCAGCTCCTGCATGCTCTTGTCTCTCAGCATCTCCATCCTGCCCTGCAAACAGAGCACACGGGAGAGAGGAGGGGTGGCGGTGAGTTCTGATGGGGCCGCCCTGGGGCCCAGGAGCGAGGGTCAGGCCTCCCCTGCAGCCCTGCCGGCCCACTCACACCAGGGCAGCGCAGGGCCCCCGAAGGCAGTGCAAGCCCACAGGCCGTGCAGGGCGGGGTGACGCTCCCCAGGGCAGAGACAGGGAGCAGGGATGCCCACTGCGTCTGGCCCAGGGCCGCTGCAGGCGGCAACGCCGTCCCGCACATGGAGGCGGTTATTTCTGTCCCAACCCGAAATACACGGGCTCTGCTGGCTGGGACGCAGAGGCCCAACGGCGCCCCGCTCTCTATATTTAGATTTAGTGCACGGGAACCTCTGGTTCTCGAGCCCGGTCACAAACAGGGCGTCCCCACTGAGCAGAAAGGAGAAATCCCCAAGTCGGGCTTGCAGGCAGCTGACAGACAGGACATGTGCCCTGGCTGAGGGGCGTCCTCTCCCTGCCCCATGCTGTGAGACAGGCGGCTCACAGCCGGCCGGGTGGGAGCCGGGCCAGGGAGGAAGCACATGCCGGGCCCCACCTGTGGCCTGTGGCCGAAGCTTCACCTCTGTACCTCTGTCCTCCCCTCCAAGATGGCCCTGGGGCCAGGCAGAAGCCTCCCTCTCCAGGGCTCAGCTTCCCCATCCATCACAGGACAGAGTGACCCCTCGCCAGCAGGGTCCCTCTCCCCCTCTGCCAAGCCTCACCCCGCAGGCCTGGCCAAGACTCAGCGTCAGGGAGGCAGCTGCATGTGGGGAGCAAGGGCAGCCCCTCGACCCCTCCATGCCTGTTTCTCCTCTGAGCCCAGGCTTTGGAAAGATGAACAGCGCTCGCTCCCGGCTCCCAGGCACCAGCCCTCCTCTCCCCTCTGCACTCCCATCATGTCCCAGATTCCTCCAGGGACAGACTCCTCATCCAGGCAACAAAACTCGCTGGCCGGACCGGATCAGACCAAACCTTTCAGCTTCAATCCTTACCGCCACCCAGCAACAGCCAGCACCAGGCAGCTCTGCCCGAAACTCCCGGACAACGGGCTGGCCGCCTGCCCCTCTTCCCCACCCTCTGTAGCACAGAGGTCAGGACCTCCCGCAGCCTCCCGCTCTGCGCCCTGGAGCACGCAGCCTGAGCTCTTCTGTGGACCTAGGAGGCAGCATCTTCCCCCCGCAGCCTCCCTCCGCTGCATCCGCACTCGGGCCAGCACCAAGCACACGTGTGCCCATGAGCGCCTCCGGGACAGGGACTTCCGGCTCCACTGCTGAGCAGGAGCAGGGCCCAGACCCAGTGCCTGCCGAAAACAGACACAGGCAAAGCAAACGAAAGAACCATCCCAAACCCTGGCCAGAGAGGGGGCAGCAGACGAGGGAAGTCTCCAGCCTGGTGTGGGGTGCAGAACAGTGATGGGGTACAGGGCGCCTAAGGGCAGAGAGCCAAGGGAGACAGCTACCCCAGGCACCCCAGAACCTGCACTGGGTCCCTTCCGGTCCTTAGCAAGCGCCAATCAGCGCTGGCCAGGATGAGGGGAGACCCCACCCTCGGGCCTTGAACTGGGCAGGATCCAGTCCCACCCGCCACGAGAAGCACTAGGAGTGCCTGCCCTGGCAGTAGGGAGCAGGGGGCCCAGGCCCAAGGCTGCTCCAACCCAGCCGCCATAGTCCCAGAGCAGCCTCTGGGGCTCCGAGTGTGTCCAGGGCACTCAGCAGTGTCCCCAAAGAATACGACACCCAGCACCTATCAAGGGGAGACCACCACACGGGACGTCCAGGTAGAAACTGTCAGACCCCTGGAGAAGCAAGAAGTGTCACCAGGAAGGGGAAAAGAAATCCAACAGACGACAGAGCCCCAAGCAAGGGCACAGGAGCGGCTACTCTGACCTGCTGGGCATGTTCCAACGAAAAGACCAAGTGCAGTGGCAGAGACCTGAGCCAGGCTGCTAAGGCTCCAATCAAGCTTCTAGAGGTAAAAACTGCAACGCTGCGGTAGAAGAAAACCGGACAGGAGGGCGGGCGGACTGCATGCTGCAGAAGGCCGACAGAAGACCAAGCGGAGAAATCAGCCAAGGCAAACCATGCGAGAGGCAAATCGCCGGGGAGAGGAGGGTATCAGACAGCTGTGCACAACCTCAGACGCCTGGCACACCTGGAACCCGCGGCTCTGGAGGAGAGTGGGACAGGGCGTGGAAAAGCATCCTAAGAATTCCTGGCTGAGAATTTTCCAAATCTGATGAAAGCTTTACACCCACACATCCACAGTCTCAACCCCGACACAGCAACGTGCGGAAAACGATGCCAAAACACACCATCAATTACCTGAGCGCAGCGTGAGAAACCCCTAGAGAGGGCAGGCAGGAGGGCAGCAGCTTCCACCTGTGAAGGCGGCAGGAGACCCCGGAACACCGGCAACGCGAGAGAACAAGTCAGCTGGTAGCCCCACCAGCCAGAAGACCTCAGAAACAAGGCGGCGGGGAGAGCGCCGGACACCACACTGAGCAGAGGACCCAGGAAGAGAAGGGCACCCACCAACCAAGCACAGCCTCGGTCGGAGGAGCACGCGGAGCTGGAAACTGGGGTGCAGTGGAGGAAGAAGCAGCAGCAGACACCAGAAACAAACCATTACTTGGTGCCATCCTTTCCTCTTTAATCTCCTCGCGAGAGGACTGGCCCCAGAGGACGGGAGCGCGCACTGCGGGACAGGACGGGAACAGGCTGAGGAGGGGCACGGTGAGTGAGCATTCACACAATCGCTCAGAAGAACATGTCGGGTGAATGAGCAACAGCGGAAACGAAATGGGACCAGAGAAACGCCTCTATCCCAAAGAAGTCAGAACGGGAAACGCAGAATGTGGGTCAGACTGAAAACAGACAGCAAGCGGGGACTTAAACCCAAGCATGTTAGCCCTCACCAGGACGCCTCAATTACAGGCAGAGCCGGGTGAGACTGGATTTCTAAAGAACCAACACCCAGCCGGGTGTGGTGGCGCACACCTGTGATCCCAGCTGATCACAGGCTGAGGCTGAGGCAGGAGGATCATCCCGAGTTCTCAAAAAAAGAAAGAAAAAAAAGAACACCCACCACCAGGCTGCCCTCAAGAAGCCCACTCGACACATGAGCACTCAGTTTCAGAGCTGAAGGGTCTAGACACACACCACAGTCACCCGGCCTCTAATTGCGCGAGACGCCATCCTACCTGTGTTTAAGTGCTGCTCCTTCACATGGAGCACATTTTCAGTGCAGCGCAACATCTCCACCACGCCTCACCCGCCAGCCCCATCCGACCCGGCCAGCCCAGCCCACTCTGCCCCATGAAAGTGACTACACTGGCAGGGCTGGCCTGGAGGCGGCTGGCTCGTCCTGCTCAGCACGCTGGATTTTCCTTCCTCTCAAAGATGAGTGATTCCCAATGCGGCCCGCACTTCGCCATCCGTCCATCTGCTAACAGACAGTGCTGCTGCCGTGAACACGCATGTGCAGCACCTGCCCCAGTTCCTGCTTTCGCTTCTTTAGGGTACACACCCAGCAGCGGAACAGCTGGCTCATGAGGTGATCCTGTTTAATTTCGGAGGAATTAGCACTGTTTACCATAGGGGCTGCACCACCTTACATTCTTACCAAAAATGCACCAAGGTTTCAATTTTTCCACTTCCTAACATTTATTATTTCCTATTTTTTAAAAATAATAACATCCTGGGCTGGGGATTTAGCTCAGTGGTGCCGCTGCCTGCCTCACAAGCGCAAGGACCTGAGTTTGATCCCTGGTACCAAAAAAAACCCAAAAAAACAAAAAATAAAAATAATAACATCCTACTCCAGGCATAGTGGTACACGCCTGTCTTCCCAGCACTTGGGAGACTGAGGCAGGAAAATCACTGTGAGTTCAAGGCCAGCCTGGACTACACAGTGAGCTCAGCCTGAACTAACCGCACAGTGAGCTGGGCATGGTGGTACACACCTGTCATCCCAGCACTTGGGAGGCTGAGGCAGGAGGGTTGCTGTGAGCTCAATGCCACCCTGGACTAATAGGGAGACCCTGTCTCGAAAAACCAAAATGGCATTAATGCTACTAGGTGTAAAGTGCTATCTCACTGTGGTTTTAACTTGCATGTCTCTAATGTTAGTGATCCTGAACATACTTTCCTGTGCTTTTTGGCCATTTGATTATTCTTTTTAGAGACATATCTGAGTCCTTTGCCCATTTTTGAATCAGGCTGTCTTGTTTTCCGTTATTGACCTGTAGGAGTTACTTATGTACTCTGGACATCAGTCCACTAACACTGTTTTCTAAAATGCTGTATTAGCTATGTTAATACCAGATGAAGGAGATTTCAGAGCAGAGAGTATGTCCAGGGGTTAAAAGGGTCATTTCATGAAAAAGGTCAGTTCATCGAGGGAATATAACACAAAACCTTGTGCACCTAGTAATGGAGCTTCAAACGTACAAAACCAAAACCAGTAAGACTACAAAGAAAGGACAAATCCACAACGACCGCCGGAAGATTCTCTGCCCCTCTCTGGAGAGCCATAGAGGGAAGGTCGGTGAGGACCCAGGAACGCCAACCAACTGGATTTGCAGGGTCCGACAGGGGCAGGGGACATCTCCTCCTTCTCACTCACACAAGGGACTTACCACAGCAGGGCGGGACAATTCAAATCACGCAAAGGACTCCAGTGCGCTGGACCGGGCACAAGTGCTGTAACCCTGCTGCTGCTGCTTTCCAGCTGGTCACCGTAGGACGGGGTGAACCAGCAGCAGGTCAGCAGGTCTCCAGGTCTCTGCTGGGCCTACTCGAGGGAGCTCTGTCGGAAGCCACCTCCTGCCCATCCTAAGCCCCAGGGGCTCCCTTGCCAGCCCAAGAGAATCAAGACAAACCTGTCTGATACTTGCTCATCTTCCACCTAAGTAATGGCAGCAGACAAAGGTGAGAACGGAGGCGCGCCTGCTTGCCAAGGATGCACCTGCAAAGCCAGCATGACCTAGGGGACTTGCCGCCACTACAGAGACCTCTCTGCCAGCCGACACCCGTCCTGAAACAGACAGGACACTCCTGAGAACTCCAGACCCTCAAGGAAACTCCTAACAGAGTTCCCATGCAAGGGACGTGCAATGAGATTAGAACAAGATCTCCAATGGCCTGATTATGCCTGCCTGGAAAAACCCTACTATTCCTGGCCAACAGTGTCCAGAAGTGATTCACACGGCTGCTTATCCCAGGGCTTTTTTTTCTGGTATGGGCGATCAAACTTAGGACCTTGCGCTTGCCAGGTAGGCACAGTGCCACTGAGCTACATCCCCGGCCCACCAGGGCCCTTTAACAGCAGATTAGCACATTTCAAAGCAAAGCAAACAAGAATTCTTAATAACAGTCTCATTTCCAAGCTACCAGAGACACAGGACCTGTGTTAGTTAGAACTGCCAGGTCCACTGGTTAGATTCAGGGCACCTCCAGATAACATCACAAGAATCTCTAGAGCCAAGGAACCAGGAGGCTGTATCCGAGTTAAAGGCCACCATCAGCTCTGCATGGAGGCGGAAACTCCAACTCTTGTCACTTGCTGGCTGTGTGACAGCAGCCGGGTTATCGCGAGTCTCTGTGACCCACAGCATCTGTACAGTGAGGTCCCTGACTGCCTGCTCATGTTTTCGGGGTCCAGGGTGTTCAAAGCTCCCACCACAGAGCCCAGCCAGGACCAGGGCTCCTGCTCCACACAGCTGCCAGAAGCTGCCAGATGGTCGTGTTCTACTTAATGGAAGCGACAGAGGCGCGGGGCCAGATTCCGAGATAATCCTGGAAAAGGCTCCTCTGGCCTTCGAGTGCCCGGAACAAAGGCTCGGTTCAGGGTCCAGGGTCTCCGCCCAGCAGTGCTCGGTCCTCAGTCCCACCGGGAGCCGGGGACCAGGGAGAGGTCTTTCCCAAGTCTCTGCCTCCTTCACTCTGCTATGGGGTCACCAGTCACAGAGCTGGGGTCCTCTCCTTTGTGCCCCGGAAGAAAATGGGCCCCTAATTTGAGAGCGGGGCCACGAGGGGCCAGGGAGCGCAGGACCCTGGGAAGCCACGGAAGGGTCTGCGACGCCGAGGCTTCAGGGCCGGGCAGGCCGGGCGGAGAGCGCTGGCGCCTCCGGTCCCCAAGGTGCGGTCACTGCCCCACCGCACGGCTCGGCCGGCCGCCTCCTTCCCCCGCCGTGGTGGGCACCCTGGGGCCGGGAGCGGCGCAGGCGGGATCGGACCCCGTCCTTCCGACCCCACGCTGCCCTCTGGCGGGCCAGACCCCGCCGCAGGCCTCAGTTTCCCCATCTACACAAGGTGCACACCGCGCCAACGACGCCGCAGCTGAGAAGCGAGAAGCCAGGCGGCGGGGGCCGAGAGGACCGCTGGCCTCTACGGGGGGCCAGGCAGGGCCCGAGAGCCGCACCCGCCCCGCCCCGCCCCGCCAGCCCCCAGCCCGCTCACCGGCGCCGCGCCGGGAAACCGCAGCCGCCCGCCACTTCCGCGATCCAAGAGCCCCGCCTCGCCGGATGTGATCCCCGCCCACGTCCGGGAGGCCCGGAGCAGAATCCCCGC